ATGAACAAAAGAAAAGTAACCATTAAATATCCTAATGCAGTATAGAAAATGGCAGTAGAATCACTGTTTTTGCTCTGTTCTCCAGTAATTTGAAGCCTATTGCCTGTATTCTTAAAATGAACTTTAGTCAAACTTCGAACTAGAACTTCATTTGGTCTAGTTTGTATTCACAAAGAACATACTGTAGTTTAAGTTCTAACTACAACTAAATCAAGTCCTAGTTTTAGTTCAGCTGAAGACAGCTGGCAAGCAACAACTATCAAAACCAATGAAAAGAGCTCAATATAATAGCAGACAAAATTTCAGAGATCCGGTAAAGTGGATGAATATAAAGCTGCCGCCTTTCGTTCAATAAAAAGTCGAATCTAATGGGACTTGCATAAAAAGATCGAGTTATACAGATTTGACTTGCAAATTTTCGGGGGAAAAAAAAAATATTAACATAGAACAATACTCAATGCCCACAAAATCTAATTTCATGCAAAACTGAACATTTTTTTAAAGTCCCAAAATCATTCCTATTCTTCTTTTAATAAAATACTTTCCTGAAAACATGAACTCCCTATTCCGAATCTCGGACGATTTGTCCAATTCAGGACGGTAACACTCACGGGAAAAACCAGACGATGGTTAAATAGACATCGTTTAACGACAAGCATACCACACGTTGTGAGAACGAGACGCTTAGCTGTACTCGCATTGCCATGGAGATTATCTGTTCATTAACATGACACGCCAGTAGACGTTTTGTTGGTTAATTATGAAGTGAAATTTAGGTACGCATTCCGATGTTTTAATTAGTGTATATTCTTGCTTTAATCCTTAAAAACCATTTGGAATCAACCTGAAATAAAGACGGAACTCGACAAAGCAAGTTTCTACTGGTTATTCTCTTTTTAGTACACGTCTAATTCAAATTCGTTAGATTCGTCAGTGAAAATTGCAAATGCACCTCAAGATGCTATTCAAAACATGTTGCTAATTTTATTACGGAGGAAATTTGTAGAGAATAAAAACTAATTTGATTTAAAATAATAACATGAGGGTTTCATATTTGTTTTTTGCTTTGTTTTATAAATTTGAACAAAACATTCTTGATTACACCGAGCTTGTTTACTGTCACGCACTATGAAACTTTGGGCGATCATCACAGCCGAAGCACATGTCTAGTGCAAAACACCCCACGAAAATGGACCAATTGGCGGGCCGGCAGAGTTTTTTTGGGGCGCGACCTATTCTGTTTACAACTAGACTACAGACCAGCATTGCCCAACGAAGAATGTGTGCTTGGAAAAACATAATCAGACCTAAAGAAATGCACGCAAAAACAATATAAAAATCGCATCAATTTTATTGGTAATAACTAAATTTGCTGAGCAGTACAGCAAAACAACAGGTACTGTACGTATTATTAAATAATGTGTTGAAGGGGCGTCTGTATTGTGAGAGTAGACTGCAACTTATGACATACGATCGTGTGAGCCAAGTTCCACACATCGCGCTGTCTGAGATGTTAGTTTTGACTTGGCTAACTTGGTGCCGTACAACAAGGATTGAACTTTGTATTTTCCCACAGCTGTGTATTTTCCCACGTGCGCTAAAATATTTGGAACTTCGACTTGTGTGGTTGAAATTACTTTAAAATCGGCCTATCCGGACCGGAAAATTTCGTTGATATAGCCGAAATTCGACATATAAAAATTCGAATTAAACAAATAATTTACACAGTAATACATAGGAAAGAATTGGGATTTTTTCAAAAATTCGACTGACGCAAATTTTCGACTTAAACAGAGTCGACTTTGGCGGACTCGACTGTAATAACTATATTAGTCGTTAACATATAACAATAGAGAATTTGAACAGTCACTCGAAATTTGCTTTCATTAGAGAACTATTACAGTTGAGTACAATCAAGGGCGGCGCCATCTTTGTTGTTGTTATGGTGAAGCTACTGTACGTGACCGCAACGCGAGGGGATTTCATTCAATTCAGGAACTATCGCATGTGACTGGCAACACATGTTAATTTCTCGTTTTGGAAGCTAAACTTAATATCTCTTATGTTTAACACACCAAAGATATATCAGACCTCCTTATACAATCATTTTTATTTGTTTCATTTTATCATGCATTAAAAAAAGCACATTTTTAGTAGGGTATAATTTCAAATCGTCAATGTAGCTTGACCGTAGGCTGACTAAAAAAATCGGTTTGTGGAGGTATCATTTTAGTTGAGGTTCGCGTGATTTAGTTGTAGTGCTAGTCAAAGTTCGTTTTAAAAATACGAAATGACATAATTTTGAAGTTTAACTCAAACTACGACTAAAGTTCATTTTAAGAATACCTGGGTAAGTATTAAAGGCTCGCTAGATCAAGGAGCTCAGAGCTCTAGTGAAAATTACATCTAGTTATCCTATCCTACAAAATAAAAAACAAGTAAATCAGATGAGAGTACTAAGATTGCTAGAAAACTAAATAAGACTAAGAGGAGAAAAATATTATGTGAAATTGTCTTTAAGGGACTTAAATCAAATATTTCAACTGAAGGTGAATTTTTTATATCCTCTGGAAGGTCATAAGAAGCTGATGAAAAACAGGAATGATCGATTGCCATAGTCAACAATTTTGCATTTAGGAATATTGAGTTCATTTCGATATGAATACCATAATTGACTAGGTGGACAATTTTTTTAACTGTGCAAAATTAACCTCGAAAAGAAGCCCATGGACTTCTTTTCAAGATAACATAAGCTTCTTTTCGAGATGGTACAGTACATAAACTGTACATGAATTTCAGAAAACAAGATAAATTAAATACAAGCCGATGACATGAAAAGTACATTATATACAACTGCCCTAATGTAAAGTGAATATTTTTTTTTCAGAAGATAAAGGATCAACTGATGTGGCATTCATATCCATCACGTCTATTTCATTTAAAGTTTGATACATTGACTTTAGTGCCAAGAGTATCATTTAAACAGGGATCAGAACATGTTCTTGAGGAACCAGTACTGGTAGAAATCAATTATTTATTCACCACAGGTATATAGTACAATAAACCACAATGTATCATATGTGTATATTAATTATCTTCGTTTTCATGTCTGTCTTTTCTTATTCAAAATTCTTCACTCTCCTTTTAATACTACAATGTCAAATATGGTATGTGGTACATGTTCATGCAGAGGCAGATCCAGGTGTCTATTTCGTGAATACTTACCTGGATAACCGACTAATTGCCATTGTTCCCAAAACGGAACACCCCTTCGAAAAAAAATGGAACAGTCTGACCCAATGCGCCACGTGCGAACCGTCTCCCTAACAAATGTCCTCATTCCCTTTTCGACGTTGTTCGAAGTCGGATACATCTAGCCTTTGAAAATTACTAGCAGGACTTTTCAAGCAATTCTGTTCTTGGATTTTTTTTTGCTTTGGATTTATTTTTGCTTTGGATTTATTTTTGCCTTGGATTTATTTTCAACTTGTGGTTGACAAGATATCCTTTTTATTGTAGTCTCGATCGGCATGTCCGCTTGCAAGTCTTTGTGCTCGGCGTGTGGGGGCCCCAAACCGAGTGTTAAGCTTGACCGGCACTCGGAGTGCCCGTTGTGTCGCTCGTGTAGCAAGGCTGAGCCTTGCGAGATTTGTGCGCGCTGGCCCCCGACTAAGTTTGCGGCGGCTCTGGATTGGGCAGCTCAGGCTGCCACTCGATCTCAGGGTTCGCTGCCGGCTGCGTCGGGGGTTGTAGCGGTGCCGGATGACTCGCCTCCACCCTGGGGATGGGTTCTGGATGGCCGGAGAGTCGCCTATGGACGACTCGTCCGAGCATCTTGAGTCGGAATCTGAGGACACTGTCCTCGGCTCTCCTCGGCTCCGATCTCTCTCAGCTCGTGGCCCGGGCAATGCCGCCCATCCTTGATCATTCGGGGGTCTCATTGAGACTCCGTGCCGGGGTGGTTTGGGGTGAGCCTGTGGGGGCCACCGGCTCCTGCGCGTCCCGCCCACCCTGTCCCAGAAGTGGGACTCCACTTGGACCTCATCCTTCGCCTGAATTCGCAAGCGGAATCCAAGCCGGTTGCCGTGCCGCGGCGTCTTACGGCTGCTTTTCCGGTCCCCGAGGACCAGTTCAGGCAGTTCATTCAGGCGCCGCCCATTCCTCGCGCTGCCAAGGGCAGACTGCGGGAGGATCAGAAGCTCTTTTCTACTTCTAAGACTTTGTTTTCTAACAAAGCTCAGGGCGCGGCTGAGGAAGCTTTGGCCTTTGTGGACTGCGCGGCTCGGGAGGGCATACGCGCCGTGAATGGGGCGGGGTTTGCTTTGTCCTTCTTGTCTGATGCTGACGCTAACCCAACTCTCGTCCCGGACGCCATTGGCCTCCTTCGGGCGGGCATTGGCCTTATTTCGGACCAGTTTAGTTCCATCGCCCAGGCTGCCGGCGCGGCCCAGAGGGCTAAATGTGTTCCAGGCGACGACGGTCAGCCGGTCACTTTGACCGGCTTTTAGACTGCCCCTCTTTTGGGGCAGAGGACCTCTTCTTTGGCCAGTTCGCTGCCAAAGAAGAGGCTTGGGCTAGGGAGTTGGAAGCACGGCGTCAGGCTAGGGCTAAGTTCCCGCGTCGTGACCGCCGTTCAGCGCGTTCTCAGCGCTGGGCGTTCGCGAGGCTGTCACATCAGCAGCAACAGCCTCGGTTGCATCCCCTCCCTCAGCCTGCAGCCGCTGTCCCTCCTGCTCCTGCCACCAATCGACAATTCGCCCGGGCTGCTCCCTCAGCCGACAAGGCACGGCGTCGGCGGCGGGGGAGGGGTGGGCCTCGTTCCTGATGTTCATGGTGGAGGGCCCGGTTCCTCAGTAGAAGGAGGGACCGGCCCGGTAGGGGGGAGGCTGATTCTTTTCACCCATGAATGGGAACGGCTGTCTCCGGACAGCTGGATCCTGCAGACTATATCCCGTGGGTACCAGATAGAGTTTACTTCCCCTCCGGTTGCGTACGGAGGGATGAACACGCCCATTCCAGCCTCCCCCGAGAAGAGGGAAGCCCTGTTTTCAGGGGTGAACGACCTTCTTTTGAAAGGGGCTGTAGTCGAAGTTTTTCCGACTACCGAAGACAAGGGGTTCATTTCCACACTCTTCCTGACAGAGAAATCGTCAGGCGGATGGCGCCTTATCCTAAATCTGCGGCGGCTGAACCAATGGATCAGACCGCAAAAATTTGGCATGGACACTCTCGTTCTTATTCTCCAGGGGCTCATGCCCAGGGACTGGGCCGCTACTATAGACCTCAAGGATGCTTACTTTCACGTGCCTATTTTCTGGACGGTCGTACGTATCAGTTCAAAGTTCTTCCCTTTGGTCTATCCACGGCTCCTCCGGGTGGTAAAATCCCTAGGTGCAGTGTTCCACGCGAGAGGGATACGGATTTTCATGTACCTAGACGACTGGCTCGTGGTCGCAAATTCCCGAGCAACTCTGTTGCATCATCTCAGCATTGTCTTAGACATGACGGAAACAGTAGGGTTCATTATCAACCGGGAGAAATCGGTTTTGGTTCCCACGCAACTTCCGCTGTATCTGGGGGCGCACATCGATCTTGTTCATTCAGTGGCGTTCCCCTCCACGGGTCGGATCCGCAAGTGCCAGCTAGCAATCACTCAGCTTCTTTCCCTTCCGCATTCCCCAGCCGAGTCGTGGCTGCGGATGTTGGGGTTTCTCGCGAGCCTAGTAGACCTAGTTCCTTATTGCCAGCTTCTTATGCGCCCTCTTCAACTGCATCTGCTCGCGTTTTTCTCTCCAGCGTCTCGGGACTTGTCAGCTCAGATTCCCTTGAACGCATTTGTCGCCAGGCACCTAAGGTGGTGGCTTCAGGAGAACGTGCTTCAGGGCGGGAAGTCTTTCCCCGACCCTCTCCCAGTCTTTCGCTTTTCGGCCGACGCCTCCCTCGAAGGTTGGGGCAGTTGTTCGCTCACGGAGCGCATCACGGGTGACTGGTCGCTGGAAGAATCCACCAGTCACATAAATGTTCTGGAGCTTTTAGCAGTTCGTCGGTCTCTGGAGGCCTTCGTCGATCGGGCAAAGGGGAAAGCTGTGTTAGTTCATTCCGACAGTTCAACCGTGGTCTCCTATATCAACCGTCAGGGCGGCACGCATTCACCAACGCTATGCTTCCATACATGGCAGCTCCTGCTTTGGTGTCTCAGCCATCGCATTCATCTTCGAGCAGCTCACATTCCCGGCCGACTGAATGTCCTCGCCGATGGGCTGTCTCGACGTCGGTTACCTCCACTCCGTCCGACGGAGTGGAGGCTGTGTCCGGTCGTGGCCCAGCATATTTTCAACACGTTCGGGCGTCCCAACCTAGATCTGTTTGCTACGAGCTCGAACACTCAGCTTCCGACGTTTTGCTCCCGGTTTCCGGAACCAACAGCGTGGGCAGTGGATGCCCTGTCCATCTCATGGGACGGGTTTTGGGCGTACGCGTTCCCGCCCTTGTCGCTTCTTCCGAGGGTGATGGGGCACATCCGTCGCCACCAGTGCAAGGCTTTCCTGATAGCACCATGGTGGGCCCACCAGGGTTGGTTCCTACTTCTGCTGAGTCTTCTTTTCGAGCATCCCCGCGTGTTGCTGGTTCTTCCGGACCTTCTTCAACAGGCCCGGTCGTGGGTCGGCCTGAACCATTTAACATCGCTGAACTTGACTGTTTGGCCCTTATCCGGGATAATCTCCGAGTCGGGAGTCGACTCGCGCGATCTACAACAGTCGCCTTAAGCACTTCTTCCGGTGGTGCACCGATCACGAAGTGGATCCTATGTCAGCCTCTCTAGGTCAGGTGTGTCTCTTTTTGCATTATCTGTTTGAGTCGGGTCTCCAGGCACGCACGATTGCGGGATACCGGTCTGCACTAGGCGCTATTTTACCGAAGTTCCCAGATGGATCGAACATTGCTTCCTCTAGCGTAATATCGCAGTTATTACGAGGTATGTTCAATAGTCGACCCCCTACGTGCGTTTTACCTCCTCGCTGGGATATTAATATTGTGCTTGAATCGCTCAAGGGTTCTCCTTATGAGCCCCTTGGTTCGGCTTCCTTGCTTAATCTCTCCTTTAAAACGGCCTTTTTAGTGGCCGTTGCTTCGTGTAAGCGTCGTGGTGAGATTCACGCTCTTTCCTTGGAACCGGGACATATTCGATTCGAGCGGGGCGGTGTTCGTCTCATTTTCAGAGCTGATTTCCTAGCGAAGATGCAGACTTTGGCGCATTCCCCTCCGTCTGTCTTCATTCCCACCATTTCCTTGCACTTTTAAGTACGGGAGGACAGGGTTTGGTGCCCTGTGCGAGCTCTGCAGTTTTACATTCATCGCACGCGTCCGTTGCGCAGCATGGATTCGCATTTGTTTGTGTCTTCAGTTCGGCCCCATGGGCCTGCTTCTGTTGATACTGGGTCGCTGGGTGGTTTCGGCCATCCAAGCCGCTTATGCGTCGGCTCGCAAGCCTCCGTCTGCCCACATGCACGAGGTTCGCGGCACGGTGGCTTCTTGGGCCATCTTTCACGGGGTCCCCCTCGCCGACATTCTGGCAGCGGCATGGTGGCGAGATCGAAGACTACATTTTCATCTTGCTACTTGCAGGATGTCTTGTCGACCCAGGCGTCGGTAGCGGCTGCTGTGTTGAAGCCGTCTCTGTAGGTAAGTCTTCTGGTTTCTGATCACGCCCGCCTCCTCTTTTCGCTGCTAATCTGGCAATTAGTCGGTTATCCAGGTAAGTATTCACGAAATAGACTACACAAATCAATCGTGATGTTGGTAGTCTATGAGTGAGATAATTACCTGGATAACCTTCCCTCCCTTCCTACCCTCGCCGTGATCGTGTCGATCTTTAGGGAATGAGGACGTTTGTTAGGGAGACGGTTCGCATGTGGCGCCTTGGGTCGGACTGTTCCATTTTTTTTTTCGAAGGGGTGTTCCGTTTTGGGAACAATGGCAATTAGTCGGTTATCCAGGTAAGTATCTCACTCATAGACTACCAACATCACGATTGATTTGTGTAGTTTTTTGAATATTTTTGCAGGGGGCATTGAAATATTCCGAGAGGCCAAGTACTGAAATATTAATGTGTCTTAATTTGATTTTATTAGGGAGTAATTTCTTTTTTACCTTTTGAACTAATATATGTCATGTGACTTTATTTATTGGTCTGTATTTCTGTAAATATGTATTATTAGTTTTAGGTGTATTTATGGAGTTAAATTATCAGTGTATAATTTCCTCCCTTGTTTTATATGGTGCGTCAACCACCTTGTAATTCACAATGGTGGCTGATGACCTAGATAAAAAATAATAGCACGAAACTTTTTTGAATTGAGCACACAAAAAATAATAAAGTTACCCTAAAATATTAATTTTTGGCACAAAAATCTAGCTGGATTATGTAGCAAATTGTTCTAGAATGTCTATCAAAATAGTCAACTCAATTAAATATTATTCATCATACTGCTGTTTAAACGTACATACCATTTCTACTGCACAATTGTGCTATCGAGTAATGCAGCAACAATCTGTACGCACCGCTAAATCTAGTATATACTGATCATATCACTGTATTAACCGATGATGATGATGTTACTAACATTAAAAATGGCAATAAACGTATAAAGCAATAAGAATATTGTTTTACTGTACAGTATGTGGAAATTACTTACTGTATGTTAGATTAATGCATTCAACCTCTGGAATTTTTTTTTTCCATTAATCTAAACCTTCGTATGATAATTTCCACATAGTGTGTGATGTGTGCTACGCCACTATTATAATTGCTTATTATCAAGCAACAATAACATGTGTCACAGCATACATTATGTTATGCTAAACCCATTTTTCCTTTTTTTTTTTTTTTTAAACAATGAAGCGGCTTTATTAAAACTCTTTTCTCCATATACTGTGAAAGGTTCTTAATGTATAGTATATTAAAACTCTTTTCTCCATATACTTTTAGTCTCAACATTAAAGAAACTTTAACAGTATATTCAACTAAAGACTAGATGAAATTCTTCCAAGTATTTTTTCCATGTTGAAACAGATCTTTGTTAATTTTTTTTTTCATTTCTCAGACAGCTTTACGGCCCTCCAAAAATGTTTCGCGGCCCATAATATCAGGCTAGACCCTCCTCTGTGAAAGGGTCCGCCCGTCCCCCCTTCAACCCGCCACCGCAGGTCTCCCGGAAATGACTTCTTAAAACTTTGGACCCCTTTATAAATTGGACTACATACATTCATTCATAAAAGATGCTAAATATATTAAATATACTTTCTTATAAGTTTTTTTTTAGACTATTTCTTTTCATGTGCAAGAGGGGTAGCCAACAATTTCAAAATGGCTGCCATTTTTAGTTCCTATGCATGTAATGTAATAGGAACTATTGTAATCACTCTTGCTATTTCCTATGTTTTTTATTGTGTGTAGTGTGTATGTGTGTGTGTAGACATTTATGCAAATGCGCATGCGTCAAAGAAAAGTTTTCCGACATTTTGTTTCACATCGCGTGTGTGTTACATCGCGTGTGTGTGTGTAGACATTTATGCAAATGCGCATGCGTCAAAGAAAAGTTTTCCGACATTTTGTTTTACATCGCGATGCGAAGATCGATGTGAAGTTTCTGCAGAGTTCAGTCAGACTCACGCTAACCGACCGGAATGTCGGCATGGATGAAACTATTTTGGTTTTACGGCAAAAAAATCATCTGCTGTAGGCATAGGTATTTTGAAGAAGGCCTAAAATAAAACTAAAATGTTTTAATACT